TTGCTATGTAGTTCAGGATGGCCTTGAACTCACTAGTAGCCCAGGCTGGCCTGGAAATTGCAGAGATCCTCCTGCCTCAGCCTCCCAAGTGCTGGGATTACAGGCGTGCACCACCATGCCTGGCAGGGGTCTAGTTATTTTCATGGCAATGCTAGCAAGTTGCTTGGCTGATTTCCTAGATTATTAGGCCTTCAGAATTAGAAAAGGAGCTTTTGGAGCTGGTTGTGAGTGATGAGAGGGAATCTAGGGTGGAAACAACAGGAGAAGCATCCTGAGCATGGAGCAGGGCCCAACAGATGCTGAGGGTGGAGTTGAGTCGGACAGAGCAGAGCTGACCCTGCGCATGCTTCTGAAGGAGGAAACACAGTGGCCCACGGACTAGAAGGCCTTTGTGCAAAGCAATCCACGTATTAAAAGTCTAATTGTTACGGGGTCATCTGTAGGCCTCGCTAAATGATGACATCAAATATGCAGGAAGGGCCGGGCCGAGGATGTAGCTCAGTGGATTTAGTTGCGCCTCAAAAGCTCAAGATCTTGAGTTCAATCCCCGGTACCGGAAAAAAGAAAAGAAAATAGAAAAAAAAAAAGAGAGAGACTGCAAGTATGTGGGAAAATATTGCCTTTGAGTACTAAAATGCTACATCCTAACTCCAACTCATCAGCGAGAGCACCTGAAGTCTATCATGGAGGACGCGTGGCCTGGGGTGAAGGACAAGCGAGGACCCGCAGAGAGCTGCCCTCCCTGGCCCGGAGCCGGATCCACCCAGCGTGAGGAGGCCCGGCCTAGCCCAGCCCGGGACGGGACGCAGCGAGGGCCAGTGCGGGCTGTGCCGACTGCGGGAGGCCTGGCCGGGCCTCCGGGCCCTTCTCCGATGCTCACACAGGAGAAAACAGCGCAGGAAACAAGTGGGCCTCGACTACAGGCTTTTTGGTCCCGCGTAACAGTCGGGAAGCGTCAAGAAGATTAAACTGTAAAAGTGACTCAACTCTGGTTTCTTCTCAGAGCATATAAATCTTTCACTTTTTACTAAGAGACTCAGTTGCATCTCAGAACATGGCTCTCTATATACATAGATATAGATATATGAAAATATCAAGCACTAACGAGGTAAATGTACAATGTCTAGATTTAATTTAAAAACTACAAAATGGAAAGAGGCAAGAAAATCTGACTCATAATATGGTCAATAATCAATCAATAAATAGAATTGAACCCAGAAATGCCACAGATAGCAAATTGGTAGACAGGAATATAAAATCATGTACCATGACCACGTCTCAAGTGTTCAGTAAGACAGAAGAAAAACTGGGCACGTTGAGCTGAGGTGTGGAAGACATGGAGTCTCACGTTACAACTCCAGACTAGTGTCTAAGATGAAAATATATTGCATGAAGTTAACAGCAGATTAGGTACCAAAGAAAATATTAGTGAACCCAAAGATACAGCAATAGAAACTATAAAATGAAACTTGGGGAAAAAAAGATTGAAAGAACAAAATAAACAGAGTATGAGGAATTGGAGTTCCTAGAGGAGGGCGTGGGGGACAGAAAGTCGAGTTCTGGGGTGGAGGAGAACAGAGCTGGAGGGGAAGGAAGTGTGAAAAGGCCCAAGATGCCACAAGCATGTGTCCCGGTTCCCCAGTGTCTTGGTTACTTCCCTGTTGCCGAGACAAAACGCCTGACACCCAAAGTTAAAGGAGGAGAGGTTTATTTGGCTCTCAGTGTGTAGAGGTTTCAGTCCATACTTGGCTGGCTCTAAAGCAGGGTAGTGAGGCAGAGGGGCATCGCAGAGGAGAAACAGTCCATGGCAGGCAGAAAACAAGGCAGATGGCACCAAGCGAGTGAGCTACAAGCAACAAGTGACCACCAACAAGTGAACTTAGCAGCTTTCTTCTGCCCCTTTTATATTCTATCTAGGCCACCCAGTTTAGGGCTGTGCCAAACCACTCAGTGGACTGATTTAGTAATCACACACCCTTGATCCCAGTGTCACACACTCTAGATTCAGCCACCTCTGAAAAAGCCACACCCATGACTGCATGAGGCTCTGGGGGCACACTAGACATAATGGCAGAATCTTCTGAATTAAAATCCCAAAGATGGGCCGGGGATTTAGCTCAGTGGTTTTGTTGCCTACTGTGCAAGCGCAAGCACATGAGTTTGATCCCTGGTACCAAAAAAAACCCCAAAAACAAACAAACAAACAAAATCCGAAAGATCAGAGAAGCCTAATGAACTCCAAGAAACAGGAATAAAATTACATCAACAAACATGATAATCAAATTGCTTAATCCGGTGATGTGTCCCTGGATGTGGTGGACCTGCCAATCCATGCAATAACTTTCCCTTGAGACAGAGGATGCCCAGGGGAGACACGGTGGGTAAGAAAGCCCCAGCACTGGTTGTCTAGTGTCACTCCATTCTAGACCCCAAGTGTACCAGGCCAGCTCTAGCGCCAGAGACCTCATGCCTGGCACCCTCAGCGGCACTGGCTTTCGCAGAGGACCTGTAGCCCATGGGCCAGGGGCTCCATTTCAGCTCAATCTATGCTGGCATCCTTGGGATATGCCTAGCACGCCTTTGGACAGGACTTTCTGGCTATGACGCTCACCACTGAACACGATGGGGGAAACAGCCTTCTCTCGGGCCTCAAGGGCCACTCCCTACAGACCAGCCACTGTTCTTACCAGTTTTCTTGTAAAAACGTTCCCAGAAGTAACCTAAAATTTTCTGACTGACACCCACAGTTAGACATGCTGGGATCAACCTGTGTGTTATACAAGCAGCATGAAGATGAAAGTTGAGAATTTCAACTGCATTTGTTATATAAACCTGGGGTTTGAAATGAAGTCTACCTCACATGAAATAGAACTTGCAAGAAATGGCTGCATCCTTGCTGTCTCAATCAACATTGAACAATAACTAACAGTACAATTAGCAGTAATAACTAACAAGCCACTTGTATAGCATTAAGTTAAAGAAGTATTTTTTGCCATTTTTTTCTATTACTACAAAATGTCATATTTTTGAATTGTTTTCTCTTATTTACTGTTGTTAATAAAAATCGGGCTTCCACACACACAGATTTCTGATCTTATTATTCTTTTTTTTTCTTTTTGGTACCAGGGATCAAACTCAGGACCTTGCACTTTCCAGGCAGGCAGCTGATCTTATTACTCTTTATTAGAAGTACTTGGACTGCTGTATATGACATGTGATCAAAATATACAGTGATTAAAAAATATATAAATATATGTACAGTGATCATTTAAATTTCATAGAAACAATGAGAGTAAAAGACATTTCCATTAGTTCTCCTCAGGCTGGGGATTTAGCTCAGTGGTTCTGGCGCCTGCCTCAAAAGTGCAAGGTCCTGAGTTTGATCCCGGGTACCCCCCCAAAAAAAATCCATTAGTGCTCCTCAAAACACTCCTCACTTTGAACGCATTTATCCCATCATCAAGTATAACCAACTTGGTGAGGACTTGAAAAGATGGTACTTTCCGCGAGTGGGCGGGGTTTGGTGCCAGCGAGCAGGACAGGGAGTGGAAGGCGTGTGGACATGTCTGATGTGTGGCCAGAGGCTAAGCCTCAGCACTCTGGGGTGGTAGCCGTGTCTGCATGGAGTTTGTGGCCTCGGAAGACTTAAACTGCCCTGATTCAAAGTGCAATTCAGACCAGGTCTCCAGGAAAGAGACTGGTTGGTAAAACACACTGCATGTGGACAAACTGTCACGGCGCGTGCCGGAAGTGCAAATCCCCACTATCTGAACCCACCAGGAAAAACAAGAACCTTGCGTTGGAGTCCAAGTACCTGGAGAAATCTGTTCACCAATGTGCCCTAGGCCATGAATGTCACCAGTGCATCAGAGGCATTCAGGAAATATTTGTTAAATGAGTGAATGGAGTTCTGGATAGCTGCTGAGGGCCACCTCTGCGCTGCAATTCCTTGGATCGCCCTTGACTGGAGACTGGGAGGGCTGAGGGCATGCGCCTTGGTATTTGCCTCTGGGATTCTGTCTCTGAGCAAAACAAAGCCAACCAACAGGAAAGGCCCTGGGTTAGTAAAGCAGAGAGGGTCACTCCCCGCGAGGGTCAGAGAGGAGGTGGCTGAACTTGGCACTGTGTGCACTGTGCAAAGGGGGACGTTCAGGTTATGCAGCCGTTATCAGAACTTGGGGCCAGCACCCCGGCCTCTCGGGCTTGGCCCTGGAATCTACATACCTCAGAGACAGGTCACGAATTAAGGAATTTATACCTGGGGTGAAATCCCCATGAGGTTAAACAAGGGAAGTGGGATATGTTTGCTCTCTGGAAATTGTTTGGTACCTACAGATGCTAGTTTCTAATCACATCTCCTGCGAAGCTTTGTCCTGACACAATGTCTAATTGTAAGGCTCTATATCAGGACCTGTGAGTATATTAGGTTTCTACCCCGCAGGGTTTTGGGGCCAAGGTGCCATCTCTGCCTGAGAACCTGCCTTCCCCGTGAGAGGCTGCATCTCTGCTAACAAAGGCCCTCTATAACAAAGATCCTTTTAGGGCAGCACTGCGGTCACCGTGAGCCACAGAGTTGGCCTTCAGGATCTGTGCCTGAGCAGCTGGTGCTTCCCATGGAAATCCCAAGGCAGGATAATAAACGAAATAAAATACCCCCTGTAGTCACAACAGAAAGAGCTGTAATCACAGAGCCTTCATTCAAATGTGTGGTTCATTTTCATGTACAAGGCAAAGGTTTTAGAAACTTTTTATCATTCTGTAATAGGGTAATAAATGTGAAAGGAAATTTAGAAAGATGTTTGATTACCAAATAAGGAGGAAAAAGTCTGTATTACATTTTGTATTATTTCTCTTTCTTTCTTTTTTGTTTTTTGGTACAGGGTATTGAACTCAGGACCTTGAACTTTTGAGGCAGGTGAGGTGCCACTGAGCTAAATCCCCAGCCCAGTATTATTTCTAAATTCAGTGGGAATTGAGTAAAGCTAAAGTAGGTGGAGCACTTGCAAGGAGTACTAAATGCTTTATTTAGAATAAGATGTAATGAATAGTTCATGGATAGTATAACTGGTAAAAATCTAAAAGCAAAACAAAAATCTGAAAGCAAAATACTTCTTCATAGCCATAAATTGTTTTTGGGGACACACTTTGGTGCATTAAGAATTATTCTGAAAAAAAAAAAAAGAATTATTCTGAGCTAGATGCGGTGGCCTATGAACTTTAGGAGGCTGAGGCAGGAGGACTGTAAGTTCAAACACAGCATAGGCTACGTTCAACTTAGCAAGTTCATGTCTCAGAATTAAAAACTAAAAAGAACTGGGGATGTAGCTCAGTGCAGAGGGCCTGGGTTCAATCCCCATATTGTGATACATAAACAAATAAATAAATACATTCAGTACTGAGGATGTAGCTCAGTGGTAGAGGTTTTGCTGAGCATGCCCACAGCTCCGGGTTCTATCGTCAGTATCAGTAACAACAGCAACAACAACAACTATTCTTTTCTCAAATGACACAAAACCTCCTGGTTTACATCTTTCTTTTTTCTTTTTTTGAGACAGGATCTCACTATGTAGCCCAGCCTGGCCTTGAACCCTTGAACTCCTGGCGATCCTCCTGCCTCAGCCTCCTGGGTGCTGGGATCACAGGTGTGTGCCACCACAAACAGCTGGTTTACATCTTAAATATTCATGATCTTATTTTGTGATGTGCAGTCCCAGAAACAAAAGTCTTCAGCAACAACCAACATTCTTCCCAGTTAGTTTAGTAATTTGTGGGATATTTCGAAAAGGTTGCTTCATTCTGTTGCACGTGAGATTAGACAGAAAACTATGCAGAACTGAGACATGGAGATTTTGTCTTTATTTTTTTAACTGCTAAAGCCACATTTTACACTGTTTACATGTAACAAAGGAAATTCAATGCCAGTGTGGTGGCACAAGCCTGTAATCCCAGCACTTGGGAGGCTGAGGCAGGAGAACAGGCCAGCCTGGGCTACATAGCGAGTTCAAGGGCAGCCTGTATTCCATTGCGAGACTGTGTCTCAAAAAACAAAAAAACAAAACAAATTTTTAAAAATCAAAAGTAGGGGCCAGGGATTTAGCTCAGTGGTTCCTGCGCTTGCCTTGCAAGTGCAAGGTCTCAAGTTTGATCCCTAGTACCAAAAAAAAAAACAAAACCAAAAGTAATTCAGTCTGATATTAAACAATAGCATTTTGAATTATATGTATATTCATAATACATACTACATGTAAATGAAATATATAATAAATTTTATATATGACATATAAATTTAAAATAAAATCTCTTTGCAGTAGGTCCTTTCTTACAGACTCTGAGGCAAGTGAATTCAATTTCCACAGGAGGCTCCAGTCTCTGATTTTCTGACACTGATTTTCTGGTCCTAAACAAAACAAAAACAAAAGCAAAAAGTTACCTGTTCCCACCCAAACTGATGCTGAAGTGGTGGAGGACTCAGGGAGGGATTCCTCACGAATCATGGTGCTCTGAAGTCCTGGGGCTCTGAGGCCCCGAGGAGCACATCAGCTTCTTTTTGTTTGTTTATTTTTGAGACAGTATCTCACTACATAGTTCACACTGGTCTTGAACTCACTTTGTAGCCCGGGCTGTCCTTGAACTCACAGTGATCCTCCTGCCTCAGCCTCCTTTGTCCTGGGGATTATAGGCATGTGCCACCATGCCCAGCAGCACATCAGCTTCTGAAATCCACATTGCCAACTGCGTGAGGCCAACATTGAATAACTCAATTTTTGTTGCTAAACTACTAAGGTTGCACATTTATAAACTACACATTTATAAAACACTAAAGATCTGCGAGTTCCTTGAATGCCAGGAATGCTAGTTTTGATGACAATGGGATATTGTGAGTAAAAATTACAGTAAATCCCAACCTGTGACTTACATTTTACGTTAGCATTATCACATATGTATGTTACGTAAACAGCACAGAAGTACTGAGACCAAAGGTACAGCACGGATGAAGCATGAGCATTCTCACTGGCTGAGATCGACACCTCGGACAGCCCAGGCCCACACCTGTCTGCTTTTCGAAAGGGCTGTCTGTCCCAGACAGAGCTATGCCTCTGCTCTCTCTTTCCCATGTGCTTGTTTTCGCTTCCTGCCTTTAGCTTCAGTCAGCAGTTCCTGTAGGCCCCTTATCTACTTCACAAGGCTGATCTGGTCCAACCAGATGATGAATTCCAGAGCGCACACAAAGTACAGCCTGAGCACAGGGCCAAAGTCCTTCCTTGGCTTCCCCTCGCAGTGCCCTGCTGTCCTGACTGTACCTCCTGGTAACCTCTGAGGCTCCACCTTGGAAGAGAAACCCCACGGGAATCTGCCCGCTAAACCAGCAACTTTCCTGCCCTAGGGATGGTCCTGCACACTCCCGAGCTGCCACACCCCTCATCTGGTGACCTCTGCGTTAGAACATGAGTCCATTCTGATTCCACGTTTTAAAAAAGAAAAACAATAATTATAATGAATAATGGAAAAGAAAGGCGGAGGGGCAATCAGTTTCTCTCCACAGGACATTCCTGTCCGACCTCTGATCAAGCAGTCCGGCCAATGTCCTCCCTGTCTGCAGCCCAGCAAATACACATTAATGTGCAGACCGGCTGCACATTCTTTAATCCCGAACAAAGCCTCTCCCTTCCTGAGATCAGGAAGGGCCGCCCTGGGCTGAAGTAGCAGTGGCGACCATACACACGTCCTGCCACCTCCATCATCCGACATCCTTCACCCTTTTTCCCCCTACCATTAACTTTCTGTAAGGACAATGTCTTCTTCTCTTGTCTTTGTATACATTTTCTAAGCCACTTCATTCCCGTAAGTCCCCCAAATGTATTACTTCCAAGAAGATGGTTTGAATGTTTCGTTATGTGCAACAGCAAAGTTCCCAGCCAGGCCATGGTAGCACCTACCTGCCTGTAATCCCAACTATCTGGGAGGCTGAGGCAGGAGGATTGCAATTTTAAGGTCACCCTAGGGCTGAGTGAGACTTGGCCTCAAAATAAAATGTAAAAAAAAAAGGACGGGGGAAGTAGCTCAGCACTTAGTTCAACTCCCAGTACTAACAAAAAAGATTGTTAAAGTTTCTGCACTTATTTCACGCACAACTACAAAGCAGCTCTCAGGAGAGCTCTAAGGCGATTCGACCGCACCCGTCGTGTGGTTCAGCAGGGGTAGGGTGAAGGTGATGTCATCTTCCACTTATGTATCAAGCACAGCACTCCTCACCCTGCCCGACCCAGTCAGTGAGTCTACGATTAACCAGAAGTTAAAATTTTAAGGTAGGTGATGTTCTTGGCAGGTTTTCCCAGTCCTGTTTTGGTGGCACCGGGGTCAAACCGAGGCCTCGAATACTCTAGGCAAGTGCTCTGCCACAAAGCGGCACCAGGCCCAGCAGTGTGTCCCAAGGACACTGTCCACCTCTAGAACTTCACACGAGTCGGCAGCTGCTGTAAAACATCTTCACGTCAACACATCCAGGATCTCTGTGCTATCCCTCTTTTCTCAACAGTGAGGCTAGTTTGTGTCTTTCTTTGCCTCCTAAATGTGATGAGAGGTCAATCTTAGCTGCAGCTCTCAAATTTTGGATTTTGTGCTTTCATCTTTATTCAGCTAAAAATATTTTTGACTTTCCCTAGCTTTTTTTGTTTTTTTTTGGCCAGGGATTGAACTTGGGACCTTGTGCTTGCGAGGCAGAAGGTGGGACCACTGAGCTAAATCCCCGGCCCTGTTTTGGTTTGTTGAGATAGGGTCTTGCTATGTAGTTCAGGCTGGCTTGGAACTCAGTATGAAGCCCAGGCTGGCCTTGAGATCAGTGATCCTCCTGCCTCAGCCTCCCAAGTGCTGGGAGTACAAGCATGCACCACCACATCTGGCTGACACCCCCGCTCCCGGAATTGAACTCACAACCTTGTGGTTCCGAGGCAGGCATGGGGCTACTGAGCTAAATCCCCAGTCCACTGGCCGACTTTTTTTGAGCAAGGGATATTTACAAATGCGTAACCCAATTTCCATATATTTGTGGAATTTTCAGATGTTATTAGTCTAATTTCCTTGGGTCTGAGTCCATATCTTGTATAATTTCAATCATAACTGTACTGAATGAATCCCTCTAGTATTACAAAATGTGTCTCTTTATTACAAGTCTTTGTTGAGAAATTTACATTTAATATAACTATCAATATCAGTTAATTTTATCACATTATTTCCATTGGTTCCAATGCTTTGTTCCTTTTAAACTCCTTCCTATCTTCTTTGCAATAAGTCTTCTAAAGGATTCCATTCGACCACATTCTATTTATTATCATCAGCTTATTAGAAATTCCTGTCTCACTGACTTAATATTTATAAACAAAGAATTTACAAGAAAAAAATCAACCTAGAATTTAGGTGATTTAGCAAATTACCCCTCCTCAACATGGTTTTAAATCTTTTTTTGTTTTGGTACTGGGATTGAACTCAGGACCTTGAGCTTTCAACGCAGGCAGGGACACCAGCTACTGACCTACAACCCCAGCCACCCCCCCTTTTTTGGTTTTGGAGACAGGGTCTCACTGTGTAGTTCAGGCTGACCCCGAACTGACTATGTAGCCCAGGCTGGCCTCGAACTCTCGGTGATCCTCCTGCCTCTGCCTCCTGAGTGCTGGGATCAAAGGCCTGCACCACCACACCCGGCCTTTAAATCTTAACTTATAGATTTAATTAAAAATTTAGAAGTAGGGCCAGGGATTTAGCTCAGTGGTTTTGCTGCCTGCTGCACAAGTGCAAGGACCTGAGTTCGATCCCCGGTACCAAAAAAAAAAAATTAAAAGTCAATGATATGGAGGAGAATATATCTTGCTTATTGTTAGAAATAAAGAGCTGGGTGTAAAACTCCAACACTTGGGAGGCTGAGGCAGGAGGATCACTGCAAGTTTGAGGCCAGCCTGGACTATGCAGTGAGTTCAAGACTAGCCTGAACTACACAGCGAGACCCTGCCTCAAAACACCAAACAAACAAACAAACAAAAGAAATAAAGAAGGAAAAAAATACTGTTTTCACATTATGGGTACAATGAGGACTAAGGTAAGACTAGAAAAGACGGTAGGAGAAGTGAACATGATCTGTGGACGTGTGCACCAAAACCTGACAGAAGTGTTCTGGAGTGGAACCCAGGTCCCTCAGAGCTGTGCACAGGGCCACCCTGCCCAGTGCTGGCTGGGATGCAGCCATCACCAGTTGGGTCCATGATGCTGATGGAGCCCCTCATGTGTCTGGCACCTGCCTAAGCCTTCCAGACATCAGATATGTCCTGAGAGTTGCTTTTTTACTTAAAGAACTTCAACACAGACTGGCATGTGTTTTCTTTATTAACTCTTTTTTTTTTTTGGTACCAGGGATCGAACTTGGGACCTTGCACTTTCAAGGCAGGCGGTGGAACCACTGAGCTGAATCCCCAGCTCCTTCTTTATTAAATCTTAACCAGCATTCTTTAGGGGACACACACAGATGAGTAGGCTCCAGCGGAGAAAGCTTACTCTTACAAGCGAAGAAGTCACTGAGGCTTCCAGGACCCTCCTCAGTGATGTTTCTTCTCCTTATTCAGGGACTCGAGGTAATATTCGGCCCCAACAGCCACCACGAACGCCGCAAATCCCCACTTGAACCCTTTCAGGAATGCACCGACAAAGGAAACATTGTGTGTGAAGCCACCCATGTATCTCCAAGCTTCATTGCTAGAAGGAAAAAAAGGAAAAACTTACAATCGCAGATAACGGGTACATTCTTTCAGTCAATTGAACTTTCATCTTTCTAATAAGACTTGAACATAACATCACATAAGATCATCCAAGTAGCACGTAAGAATCTGTGGCATAGGATAATTAAGAATATGTGACCAGGTTTCACACAGAGCACATTTTTAAAATTGATGACACCACGCTTCTCAGTCACTGCATCCACAGGAGCCAGTGCCTCGCTGTGCCCCTGTCACAGGAGGAGCAGCAGTGGAGGCTGGGATTCACCTGTGCTCTCCTCTGCGGAGCTCAGACTCAGCCTCACGCTGCTGGGTCTGCGTCCTCTTCAGCTCAACCACTTCCCTGTTGTTTCCCAAGGTTAGAACCTCACCTATCCTGGCACTGGGCAGCCCAACGTTTGTCACCATTGTTGCTAGGAGAGCATCACAGCTTTCCTTCAGAAGACTGATCTCCTGCTCTGTTAATAATTCTAAGCGCCCTCAACAGAGAAGCAAACAGAAAGTTACAGAGCAGAAGGGAAAAAAGTCTCCTCCCACAGATAATGGTGTCAGAAAAAAATGCTATAAAGAACAAAACCCGTTTAACTCCAAAAATCTGACATCAAAAAGTATCAAATCTAATTTAGATGCCAAGACCAAAGGTGTTAAAGAAAATGTCAGAGTAATATCCCTTGTGAACACAGATACAAATATTCTTTAAAGAATTTATAGGGCCGGTGATTTAGCCCAGTGGTTCTGCCACCTGCCTCGTAAGCACAAGGTCCCGAGTTCGATCCCTGGTACCAAAAAAACAAAAACAAAACAAAACAAATTTAGAATATTGAATCCAGCAATAAAAAAGATGATGCATCATATCAAGTAGGGCTCACCCCAGGAATGTAAGATTGGTTTAATGTTTGAAAATCAACATATGAACAGAAAAAGAAAAACTTTGTGAGCATTTCAGTAGATGCAGAAAAAGCATGTAACAAAATTCAACAATCATTAATAACAGAAAAGAAGAGCTGGGGAATGTGGCATGCACTTGTAGTCCAGATAGCCAGGAGGCAGAGGAAGGAGATCACTTAAGCCCAATTGTTCAGGGCCATCCTGGGCAACACATCAAGACTGTCCCAACAAAATATAAAACAAAACCAAATCAAGAAAACTCTCATTAACCTAGGAATAGAAGGGAAATTCTTCATCTTGATGAATGTCATTTACACAAATCCTAAAACACACACACTTATATAGTGGTGTCAGGCTGGATGCCTTTCCCCAGCGAGGAACAAGGCAAGGATGTCTGCTTTCACCATTTAACTTAACATCGTACAGCAGTGTTAACTTGTGGGATAAATGCAAGAAAAATAAGGTTACAAACTGCTGGGCATGGTGATGAACACCTGTAATCCCAGCACTCAGAGGCTGAGGCAGGAGGACTGCTGAGGGTTCAGGCCAGCCTGGGCTCCACAGTGAGTTCAAGGCCAGCCTGAATGACACAGTCAGATCCTGCTGCAAAAAAAAAAAAAAAAAAAAAATTACAAATTGGAAAGAAAGTAGTAATACTTTGTAGATAAAACAATTATCTGTGAAAAAAATTCTAGGGAATCTATAAAGACCTAGAGCTGCAACGTGAATTGAGCAAGGTTATGGGATACAGTCAGTATATAACATTTGTATTTTTAGTTTTTATTTTTCTGGAGTATAGATGAGGACATTAAGCAACAGAAATTACCATGTTGCTGGTGGGACTGGAAAATGCAGTCAGGCTGGAAAACTTTGGGTCTTGCAGTTTTTTACAAAAAATAATCATACGTTTATTATATAGTCCAGAAGCCCTACTTTTAGGTGCTTCCCTAAAAGAAAGGAGAGTGCACAGACCTCGGATGGTTCTAACACTCCACTGTAACAGCCAAAGCCAGAAAAGCCCAAAGGGCCACCATCTATCAGTGGCCAACAGCCTGGTACAACAGGCGGCAGTGAAAAGGAGCCAGACACAAGCACCCAGGCACACAGACCACAGAAAAGACTACATTCTGTGATTCCGATTGCAAACATTTTAGAAAAGGCAAAAATTTTAGAGACAAAAGTAGAACAAAGGCAGCCAGGAGCTACAGGTTACATGACGTGGACTGCTGAAGATCACACAACATTAAGAGAGCAAAGGGCCGGGGGCCAGGGATTTAGCTCAGTGGTTTTGCCGCCTGCTGCGCAAGTACAAGGACCTGAGTTCGATCCCTGGTACCAAAAAAAAAAAGAGTAAAGGGCCGGGCGTGGTGGTGCACGCTTGTAATCCCAGCATTCTAGGAGGCTGAGGCAGGAGGACTGCAAGTTTAAGCCCAGCCTCGGAAACTTAGTGACTTAGTGGGATGCTGTCTCAAAATTTAAAAAAAAAAAAAAAAAGTTAGGGATTTAGCTCACCAGGAAGGCCGTAGATTCAATATCCAGTACTGCAAAACAAAAAAATCAAAAACAAAAACACAGAACCCAGGGCTGGGGGTTTAGCTCAGCGGTGCTGCTGCCTGCATTGAAAGTGCAAGGTCCTGAGTTTGATCCCTGGTACAAAAAAAACCACCACGGAATCCACAGGTATAATAAATCCTACCTACACCAACCACTCAGCTCATCTTACCGGCCCCACGGATCCCTGAGTCCTTGTGCAGCCAGCTTCTTCTGGACAGTTTCTAACGGGGTCCCCTCGATCCTCCACTGTCTATAATCAGGTAACTCCATCTTGCTGTGACCATGTTCCTGTCCATGCCCATGCCCTGGGGCCATGTCTACAGGAAAGAACAACATAAGGAGAAACACATCCACTGCAGATACCTGAAAGCCAAATTCACTGTGTGTCTTTTTGTTGTTGCTATGTCTTAAATGAAATACTTAATGTTTTTAAAAAACATAGTTAAAAATTCAGAGTTAAGATATTTTACAAAAATATAAATTTTATAAAAATATCTTAGTACACAATGTATGGTCAATTAGAAAATACACATAACATATTAAAAATAATAAACAGTAATCCTGCGGCTCGGCAACAGCTACCTCCTATGTGGTGCTTTTTTTTGGTATCAGGGATCGAACTCAGGACCTTTTGCTTGTGAGGCAGGAGGCAGAACCAATGAGCTAAATCTCGGCCCTGTGGTGCTTTGCTTCATTACAAAGGCAGCAGCACTTACTCAGAGCCCTGTATACTGGCGCACCGTGCTTTTCAAGTACCAACTTCATCCCTTCCAGAACAGCTGAGTGTACATTTAAATATCCTATTAGATGCGTTATATTAATGTACCAACTCCCCACGATAAAGGTAATCACTATGTACTGCAAACATGGCCAATAAAAACACCCCACTTCACAGATGAAGACAATGAGACGCTTAAGAAGTAACTTCCAGAAGTTAACAAAAGTAGGAAATGGTATCCCTGGGACTTAAACCTGCAGTATGGTTTCAGAAGCCCTGTTCCTAACTTTGAAGCAACACTGTCTGCCTCTGTTTAGTCCTATTGTGTAAGCACACACAAAAGTGTTGTATCTACTGCTTTGTTTGGTTGGGTTTTTTGTTTTGCTTTTTGGTACTGGGCATCAAACTCGGGACCTTGCGCTTGCAAGACAGGCAGCGGAACCACTGAGCTAAATCCCCGGCCCCTGTACCTACTGCTTTGTTACCTGCTTTCTTCAAATTATTCTTAAATGCACTACTGCTTTTAAAGAAGACAATCTCATGAGCTCTTTTTTGTTTTTGTTTTGTTTTGATTTTTTGAGACAGGGCCTCACTATGCAGCCCAGGCTGGCCTTGAACTTGCAGCAATCCTCCTGCCTCAGGCTCCTGAGTGCTGGGATTACATGCGTGTGCCACCAACCCCAGCTAATGAACTGTCTTTTAAACTTTGTGAGCAAGAGGTAAAAATTGAATATATAAATTTCCAACTATTTTATTGATAAAATAAAAGCATAATAAATAGCAACAGTATAATTTTTTGTAACATAGATGTCATGTAAAAAAAAGTTCCCTTATTTGGGGATAGCATTATGTTTACCTGGAGCTCAAAGTCAGCATTCCTTATTAGCAAAATGATTGTAAATTTTCCTCTGTAAAAACCATTCTTAGCTCAAGGGCCTTACAAAAATAGGCAGTAGGCTGGGTTTAGCCCACAGGCTACAGTTTACTAACCCTGAACTGACTGAGAGTTCAGGACCCCGTTTTCATCAGTAAGTTTGCTTCCTTAAATAAAATATGTCCTCAGTGGTTATATAAAGATTTGTTTTACTACTGTTATTTTTTAGGTAACAAAAATAAACTTCAGCAGTAGCAATTCTACAATGAATGCTCTCCAAAAATAAAAACCAAACCACAAAAACAAAAAAACCAAACCAAATAATTACAATGTCATGTTTGCATTTATAACTATAAGCCCAATAATAACACAGGATTCCTTATGTAGCATTTTAGAAGACAGGGGTAATTATTAGATAGTGTATACTAAAGGCACATTATGTGAATTGCTTCTTCCATTAAACAATCATTCCAAAATATGAGGAAAAAAAAATTGGACACTGTGATTCTGACAAATTAACCAACAATATTTTAAAATAATTTATCTTAATTTCACTTATTTATTTATTTATGGTACCGGGGATTGAACTTGATATTCTTTTCTTTTTTTTTGTACCGGGGATCGAACTTGGGACCTTGTGCTTGTGACGCAGGCACGGTGCCATTGAGCTAACTCCCCGGCCCATTTTAAATTTTTTTTATTATTATTATTTGTACCGGGGATCAAACTCAGGACCTTGCACTTGGAAGGCAGGCATTGCACCACTGAGCTAAATTCCTGGTCCTTAACCAAGAATATTTATAAACATTAAAACTTACAAAACATTATGTTGATGATTTTTGTATTTAAGAGAGAATAAACATCAATACCAAACACAAGTTAAAACTACAACACTTTGGGCCGGGGATTTAGCTCAGTGGTTTTGCTGCCTGCTGTGCAAGCGTAAGGACCCGAGTTTGATCCCCAGTACCAAAAAAGAAAAACCTACAACACTCATAATTTTGAATAAAACATTTAATCTACTATAATATAAAGAAAAGTGAGGCATAGAGGCATGTGCCTGTAGTCCTAGCTAGTCAGAAGGCTGAGGCGGGAGGATCTTGCTTAGGCAAAGAGTTCAAAGCCAAACTAGGCAGAGTCAGACCTCATCTCATAATTAAATACATAAGTAAACCTAAACTAAATATTTTTAAAATAAAGGGAAGAATTATGGCTTCATATTTCAGAATGACTTTTGAGATTCAATACATTATTTTTAAAAAGGCTGTTAGGAGCATTTATTTAGAATGGTGATGCTTTACATTCTTCCTAACATGTTTTCAAAAAATTATGTTTTAAAACACTTCAGGGGCTGGGGATGTAGCTCAGTGGCACCATGCCTGCCTGGCAAATGCAAGGTACTGAGTTCAAGTCCCAGGAGACACACACACACACACACACACACACACACACAGTTTCATTTAAAACATGTTTATAGAACCAGTTATGGTGGTACAAACCTATAATCCCAGCACAGTAGGAGCCTGAGGCCGGAGGACTGCAAATTCAAGCCCAGCCTGGGCAATTTAGCAACAGGACTGTCTCAAAATAAAAACTAAAGCAAAATAAAATAAGGATCTGAGAGGTAGCTCAGTGCAAAAGCTCTGGGGTCAATCCCCAGTACCACACAAAAAAAGAGTTTATAGAAATTACAAGACAAACTATTATTTTGACAAATATCAATTCTAGAATATTAGTCCTAACTACATATCAATGTATTTGAGTGTACAAAATAAAAATTTTCATAAAATTTGTTTCTGAAAATAAAAGACAATGCCAGGCACGGTGGCACATGCCTATAACCCCAGCACCCTGGAGGATGAGGTAGGAGGATTGCCATGAATTTGGGGCCAGCCTGGGCTACACAGTGAGTTCAAGGCCAGCCTGAACTGCACAGCAAAATCCTGTCTTGGAAAAAGAAAAAAAAATGATGAACTATAACCAAGGTATGAAGGGTATTTTAAAGTTAAACTATTGGGCCGGGGATTTAGTTCAGTGGTTTGGGCGCCTGCCTCAAAAGTGCAAGGACCTGAGTTCAATCCCCGGTACCAAAAAAATAAATAAATAAAGTTAAACTATTATCTCAAGATTTTTAGTAATTTAGAATATAAATCTTTGAAATAAAACATGAAAGTACACATATTCACATTTCTCCTATACAAAAAAAATTAGCGTTTTCTGTTATTACATTAGTTCAGAAAAAAATCCTTTTATAGGAATTTCCTAAATATAAAGGATAAAAAGTTGAAGAACACTATTTCTACAGACCTTTTATTTTCTTTTAAAAAATTATTTCTATTTCAGAATAGCCACAAATCAATGGTATCTCAATCACTTGAAGGAAGAGTTTTGAATTCTTTTTTTCCTTTTTTCATGAGTAATGTTTGCAATACACAATAATTACATTCATCTCAGGAAATTAGTACATATACATATCACATCTTGATCATTTTTACACCTTTGGAATTTTCCTATTTTGCACACTAGTTGCTATAAAATCCTAGGCAAATCACTTAACCTCTCTAAACTTGTTTCTTCATATAATGAGGATAAAATCCACCTTGTGAGATTGTGAGAATTGGGAAACAGATTCTACTTCACACCTAGTGGTGTGAATGCTACTGACCACACTCATTCTCAAACACAGAGAGGACCTAGAAATACTGGCCATCTGCGGACCCAAGGTCAGCAACCCCACTCCTGGGCACCTTTTTTTTTGGCACCAGGAATCAAACTCAGGACTTGTGCTTCCCAGGCAGGTGGCGATATTGGCACTGTCCCAGCTATGGCCACTCACACATGGCAAGAGCAAGTGGAGGACTGGGTATTATTTTACTTTAATTCATTTAAAATTCAAAACCAGTCTCAAATCTGTTATTAGGAAATAATGTGTGTTTAGCACAATTTCGGTATATATATCTACTTTCTCAACTGGAAATATTATGAAATATCAATGCAGATCAAGCATTTGTATTTATGAAAACAGCATACAGATATTCTGTAAAGTATGTCACTTTTGAACAGTATAAAATTAAAATATTTCATTAATAACCATACTGATTACATCTTGGTAAATTTTGAATATACTGGGTTAGATAAAATATACTATTAAAAAGTTAGTTTTATCTGTTTTTTACTTTTTAAATAAGCCCATTAGAGAATTTAATATTATGTTGTGGCTTGTATTGTATTTCTATTGAACAGCACTACTTTTTTTCTTTTGAGGCAGGGTCTCACTGTGTAGTTCAGGCTGGTCTTAAACCCACTATGTAGCCCAGGCTGGTCTAGAACTTTTGGCAACCCTTCTGCCTCAGTCTCCTGAGTGCTTGGATTACCGGCACCATCACATCTGTTTCTGCACAACACTACTTAAGAGAAACTCTTGCATATATATAATAAGGGATATGTTTCAGAAAGTTCTGAGTTTTGTGTGTGTGTGTGTGTGTGTGTGTGTGTGTGTGTGTTGGGGATTAAGCCTAGGGCCTCACACAAGTACATACTCTACCACTGAGCCCCATATCCTGCCCATTTTTAAAGTCTTTGCAGCCAAACTGTTTGCTAGCTCTAAACTGCAAGTAATGCAATCCAACGGAAAAGGCTACAGGAGAGCCACACTACAGAATATTATACTGCAAAAAATCACATTCAGAAGTATGAACAAATCTCACAAATATAATGAGCAAGGGACGAGTCAGAAAAAAATACACATTAATCCCATTTATATAAATTGAAATGCTTAACAATTCACTTTCTAGGAATTCATCATAGGTGGAAAAATGAAAGTAAAACCAGTGAATGCTTGTCACAAGTCAGGACAGGGTCTACCTCTGGGTGGAGAAGAGGGAATCACAGGAGTAAGGGGGCTTCCATGGCACTGCTCTCAGTCAATTTTTAATTGTGTCTCTAAAGAGCCATTTTAGATGGGTTTGTTTCCTAACCATGTCCCCGCTTCCCAATGAAATTCTAACACCAAAGATATACTGTGTATCTGTTTATGTACTGTTGTCCTTTGGAGGGACACAAGTCATTGTAATGCCCTCCCACCCTCAGCCAACGTTCACCCCTTTGAGGGGCAGACCCCTCTCTTGAGAACGTTCGTTCTAAATTACTAGCAGTGCTTTATTTCCTAACCTAAAAAGTGGTTACACGAATATTTGCTTAATTATAATTGTTCAAAAGGTACTTTTGTCTTATACACTCCTGTGGTGTACACTTGACAATAAAAAATAAAATTAGAAATAGTGGCTTATAATGTGCTGAAGAGTCAACATGACTGTTTCACTTTTGCAGCAGCTCAAATAAGAACAGCAAGGAAAGTAGTTCCACAAAGAATAAGTAGTCATGAAAAATTTTAAAGCTATCTGCCTGTCTGAAGTGAATCTGTAAGTTTGGTGGAGATGAGTCTCAACTAAGGGGGGCAAGCACTAGCACCAGAAAAGTGCTGGTACGCTCTAAGAAGTTTACTAAAGACTTTCAAGTATATTTCCCAAATTTCCCTTATGTTAAAAAAAAAAACCGCAACTATTAAAGAATATGAGAGCTGGTGCCACACCCTGTGATCTCAGCTACTCAGGATGAGGCAGGAAGATCGTCAAGTTCAAGGTCAGCCTGGGCAACTTAGCGAAACTGTTTCAAAAATAAAAAGGTCTAGGGAGGTACCTCCGTGGTAGAGAGCTAAAGAAAAAAGTGAAAAACAAGCTAAGTGTTACCACTTTTAGGTCCACTCCCTGGTCGAAGGTAAGTGCAATGGATGAGATTTCGCCCTTTTCATTTTAACTTTGTAACGTAAACATACATAACAGGAAAAAAAACTTACCTACGTTACATACACTTACTTCTACTTTAGATATTTCGGCTGAGGAGCCCGTCTGACTTTATTCGATTTCAGGGTAAACCCAAAGAGCACGGGCAGAGGCTGCGGGAGCAGAGGCGGGAAAGCTCTGGACTCGGCGTGCGACTCCCGAAGCGTCCTCCCCTCTCCGCTCCCCACCCAGGTCCTGGCTGGCCCTCAGAGCTCTCTCCGCCCGCTAGCTCCTCCATCTCCTCCCCCTTAAACTGCCTCTTCCTCATCCTTCTCCACCTAGTCTCTCCCGTGTAGCATTTCCCACAAGATTCCAGCTCTCGTTCCTAATTCAGAGGTCTCCACCAACGCCCTGATTTACCTGCCAGCACTGTGACCCCTCAGGACACAGAGTGTTCAACCTTCCAGCCGCAGCCAAACGGAAGCGGAAGTTGGTACCTCGAATTTCTTATGGCAGGAAAGCGGTGGCGACATTTAGCGTTCCGGTTCTGGCTCACAGGTTCTGGATCAGGTGGAGATAACTCGAGGGACTGGGAGTCCATATTTTTCCTACATATGGAAATCCGAAGTGTGACTGAGATAAGAGTCGTCGCAGAGGACGCAAGCATGGGGAAGAGGTGTTTTCCTGGTTGGAGACGGAGTCCTTAGACCCTGCACCTAGGGGCGGGCCGAAGGGAAGCTGCAGCCAATGAGCGTGGCCGTTGTTGAGAGCGGGGCTCAGCCATAGAGAAGCCCGGATGTTGCGCTGCGGTTGGTAGGCTGCTGCGGGAGGCGGTGGCGGTCGGAAACTGGAGGCGGCGGGGGACTGGTAGGTGGCCGGGCTGGCTGTGGGGACGAGAAGTGCGCGGTACGGGGCTTTCCTCTCTGCTGCGGCCAGCGTCGAGGGCAGCGGACGAGGGTCGGCTGGGGAAGCTGCAGCCTCCCGCCGGCGGTCACGACCCGCGGAACCGGGTAGCAGCTGGAGGTCGCGAGTCGGCGGGGCGGTCCGGGGCCCCGGGCCTGCGGGCGGCGGAGAGGGGGAAGAGGAGGGAGCGCGGGGCTGGTCGCGGGGTGGAGCGGTTCTGAGCGCGAAGCCGGGCTAGCGGAGGACGCCGAGGGGCTGCTTCTTGGGCCTTTCTGGGGTGGCGGGGGTGCGGGGAGCAACGGCCTTCCCGGCCGTGCGAGCGAACCCGCGACCCTGCCCGGCCGTCGTTACGTAACGCGGGCCGACGTGGCCCCGGCGGCCAGGCTGGCCCGGCCCGGGAGTCTCGCGGCCGCCGTGTGGGAGCGCGGGCTGGGCCGGGCGGGCGCCGAGGACGAGGGGACGGGGGCGTCAGCCTGCGACGGGCGTGCGGGTCCACGCTGTGCAACTCGGGCGCTTGTTTGTTACGAGGGCCGAGGATGCTGACTGCAGCTCTTAATCTTCAGGAAAGTAGAGCCTCCAAAATCTTTGGTAGGAGGCGAGTGCAAGTTGGAAAAAGACTAGAAAAGTAGCTGGTAGACCTCCTTAGATTTTGCGGATGTTAGGAACTGAAAAATTGGAGGTCGGAATTGGGGGGAGGGCAACTTTTAAGTAGTTTTCCTGTAAGTCTGAGAAGCTTGTTACAAGTTATTTGTATCTTAGGTTTGAAAAGAATGCTCTGAATCTCTAGGACTTAGGTAAGGCATTTACAGATAAAACTAATCACAAATTATCTTGCTCTTAAGTCTTGTAATTTATTGTTTGCACAATAAAATGTAGGGTTAAAATAGGAACTTCGGTGAGCATGTGCTGTGGGAGGACAGACTACATACAGCCTTGATTTTGTAGTTAATTGAGAACGATTTAAAAAGTCTAGAAAACAATTTTAAAAGAAACGTAAATTACTATAATGTAAGCTGTTTGAAATTTGCTTTCGAAGGAAGAATGTAATATTAGCATTTGTATCATTTTCCTGAACTTGCTTTAGTATTCCTTGTCAGAAAAATTTTCTGAAATGTGATTTTTTTGTATTAGTGATCATTTATATTGCTTCATATAATTTGGGAGGGGGTACCGGGGAATCGAACTCAGGACCTTGCCTTGCCAGGCCGTCGTGGTGCCACTGAGCTAAAATCCCCAGCCCATGGTTCATATAAATTTAAAAGAACATTTCATTTTTTTCTCAAAATACCCAGGAAGGAGAAGTGGATGCTTAAAGTTTATTCTGAAGTGTTCAGAGTACTGAGATCCTTGTCAATGCTTTAATTAAAATTTTTAAATGATTCTTGGTGCCTCATTCTTTTGTCTTTTGTCCTCCAAAAAAACCAGTGCTGTCTCAGTCACAAAGAA